AGAGAAAATACCCCAATGTGAGGGGAAGAGAGAACAAACCGCATGTGGAGTTGAAAGAGAGAACAATACTGCAAGTGGAGTGTAGAAAGAAAACAAACCAATGTGGATGTAGAAAGAAACAAAAACCCATTGGGGTGTGGAAGAGAGAAAATACGCAAAATGGGGGGTGAGAAGAGGAACAATCGCAATGTGGAGTGTGAAAGAGAAAAAATACCCGATTGGAGTGGAAAGAGAGAACAATACCGCGATGTGGAGTGTGAAAGAGAGAAAAATACTGCATGGGAGTTGAGAAGGAGAAAATACTGCAATGTGAGTGTGGGGAGAGAGAACAAACCCGATGTGGAGGTGAAAGAAAACAATACGCGATTTTTTGGGGGGGTTGAAGTGGGGGGAGAAAGAACAAAACTGCGAGTGGGGGTGAGAAGAGAGAACAATACCCAATGTGGATGTGAGAAGAGAACAATACCACGATGTGGAGGTGAGAAGGAACAATACTGATGTGGATTGAGAAGAGAGAAAAACCACGATTGAGTGTAGAAGAGAACAATACTGCGATGTGGATTGAGAAGAGAGAACAATACCATGTGGGGGTGTGAAAAGAACAAATGCGTGTGGGGTTAGAAAGAAACAAAACCCATTTGGGGTGGAGAAGAGAGAACAATCCGATGTGGAGTGTAAAAAGGGAAAATACTGGATGTGGAGTGTGAAAGAGAGAACAATACCCATGTGGAGTGTAAAGAGAACAAACTGCATGTGGAGTGTGAGAAGAGAGAACAATACCCGATGTGGAGTTGAGAAGAGAACAATACCCCGATGTAGTTGAGAAGAGAACAATACTCGAGTGGAGTGTGAGAAGAAGAACAATACCGATGTGGAGTGTGAGAAAAGAGAAAATACGCGATGTGAGTGTGAAAGAAGAACAATACTCGATGTGGAGGTGAGAGAGAACAATACTGCAGTGATGTGAAAAGAGAACAATCGGATGTGGAGGTGGAAAGAGAACAATAAACCATGTGGGTGTGAAAAGAGAACAAAACTGCGATGTGGGTGTGAGAAAAGAGAACAATACTCAAAGGGAGGGGAAAGAAGAACAAAAGCATGTGGGGGTGAGAAGAAGAACAAACGGTGATTGGAAAAAAAAAAGGTGTGAGGGAGAGAGAACAATACTGCGATTGGAGTGTGAAAGAGAAAAATACTGCGATGTGGGGTGTGAAAAGGAACATACTGCAGGAGGAGAAAGAAACAATACTGCATGTGGAGTTGAAAGGAGAACAAATCCGATGGAATGTGAGAAGGGGGAAAATCCTCGAGTGGAGGTGGAAGGGGGGAAAAAATACTGCATGTGGGGGTGTGAAAGGGAAACAATACCGAGGGAGTTGAGAAAGGGGGAAAAAATACTGCGATTGGATTGAGAAGGGGGAACAATACTCATGTGGATGTGAGAAGAGAAAAATACCCGCATGTGGAGGGGAGGAGCAAAACCCCGAGTGGGTTGAAAAGGAAACAAACTCAAAAGTGGAGTGTGGAAAAAGAGCAAACTGCATGTATTGGGGAAAGGGGCCCCAATACCAAGGGGGGGAAAAGGAACAATAAGCAAAATTTTAAAAAAAAAACCTCAATTATGTAAAAAAGAGCAAACCCCATTTTAAAAAAAAAAACCAAATTGGGGGTTTAAAAAAAAAATACCCGAGTGGGGGGGGGAAAAGAGCCCGGATTTTAAAAAAACAAAATTTAAATGGGTTAAAAAGGGCAAAAATGTTTTTAAAAAAAATTTTTTAAAAAACATACCCCCTTATGTAAAAAAAAAAGGGGTTGATAAAAAAAGAAAAAATATAATTTTTTAGGAGGAACAAAACCACATTATGTAAAAGGAAAAATATTTTTGAGGTAAAAGGAAAAAATAGAATTAGTTGGGAAAAAAACAATCTGCAAAATTTTAAAAAAACAATAAATTAAATTGAAAAGGGGGAAAATAAATGTTGTTTAAAGTCAAACGTATATTAAAAAACCCACGGGGGTTCAAAAAACTACTTGTAAAAGGAAAGGAACAAATGATGTGAGTGTAAAAAAACCGGGAAATTGGGGTAAAAAGAAAGCAAACCCCTTGGGGATTGAGAAAGGAAAAAAAGGGGGTTATGTAAAGAAAACCTAAAGCAGAGGGAGAAAGAGAACAATCCTCATTGGGGTTGAGGGCAAAACCTTAATTGGAAAAAAGAAAAATAGGGGATTTTTGAGAAAAACAAACCTCGATGTGGAGTGTGAGAAGAGAGCAACAGCCACACCTTGTTTACCTTCCTCCTGACACTGGCTCCTCACACTCACACAAGAGCGGGAAAGGACACTAGCTCATGTATCTTTATCCTTCACATTTTACGTGCTAAACTGCACCTAAACGACTTTTAAAATATTTAAAAAACATTAGTTCATATATAATATATTACCGAGTCGCTGAAATGAGCGTGAATTCACATATTGTTCATATTTTATGGCGTTTACACTTTGCAAAAATGTTTTTCAAAAATTATTTATATATACATTACTTTTTTATATTACAAAAAAAATGATGAATAAAAGTGTTAAATATTTTTTATGCAGTGCTTTCAACATAAACATATGTAAATGGTATTATTTTTGAGTTACTTTAAAGTAACTATTATGAATGCTTTGCAAAAACAGGATCTTGCAAAATATATGAAATTAATATCACCTATTTTTTATTATTCATGTTGATTTTGAAAATTAAATGTTTGTTTAAAGTCTAAAGCGTACTAATATAAAACCCACAATTATCTAACCATAACCGGACTTGTAGAAATGGATAGTTGGACAAATTTGGATTTGTAGATGAATGGTTCAGAGAACCGACATGTTGATAAATTAGACACATGTGCAACTCTTGGGTATCTTTATTGAGGAAACGTTTCGCCACACAGTGGCTTCATCAGTCCATACAAAGGAGAATCTTGAAGAACAGGAGGAGAATGAGGTAATCAGTCCCTCAACCTTGAGTCGATGTGGTCAGTCCATCAATCTTGAATAGAATACGGCATACGTGCTGAGAAGGAGCTTATAAACCGTTGGCAGGAGAGGTGAAGCAGTCATAGGTCGTGTAACATTTGTTCCTATGACTGCTTCACCTCTCCTGCCAACGGTTTATAAGCTCCTTCTCAGCACGTATGCCGTATTCTATTCACGATTGATGGACTGACCACATCGACTCAAGGTTGAGGGACTGATTACCTCATTCTCCTCCTGTTCTTCAAGATTCTCCTTTGTATGGACTGATGAAGCCACTGTGTGGCGAAACGTTTCCTCAATAAAGATACCCAAGAGTTGCACATGTGTCTAATTTATCAAATTTGGATTTGTAAGATATAGGATAGAACTGATCTGGCAATAAATGTAGATGAGTGGATTATTATTATTATAATCAAAAAAGAAGCGCTAAGCCACAAGGACTATACAGCGTAGATGAGTGGAGTAAACTCCCAAATAGAATCATTAAACTGAGAGTTTTGTACAGCTTTGAGAATAGGATGGAAAGTTAATAATGGATGTGAGTTGGACTTGCCTAGCATGGCCCAGTAGATGAATAAATGAATAAGACACGTGTAACACTTGAGTATCTTTTCCGACGAGACATTTCGCCTGGTAGCAGGGTTTTTTTTCCGATCTAATACACAGTGACATACTGGGGACCTCTCCTCTGGCTACTTTATTTAAATCTCCAACCTCATGCATGGGTCATCTATATGATTAAGACCAGTGTCACAAGAAACTTGTCCCGTTTCCTGCCAAATAAAACAACAGCCTCTGTTTAAAATAGATAAAAACTAAGGGCCTGAACGTTCAACTTAAAATTACCTTTCCAATTCTTCCAGTATAAAAGTCGTCTCTGATTCTAAAAGCCTCCTGAGGCTTAGCTATGTTGTAGAAGCCATTGTTCTGCTTGAAATTATTGAATAAGGCAATGTTTGATAATTCTAAAATCATGCATCTCTGAATGACTTCATCCTTGGTAATGAGTTGTGCATCCTTGTAATTAATTAAACATTGAAAAACGTTGCTGCACAAACGAAACATCTAGTCAGTCAAGATTCCCAGGTGTTGCACATGTTTTCTTTAACAATTTATCAGTAGTGTATGCCATTAATGTAATGAGTCAGTATGACTCACGAAATCGTTTTAATGAGTCAGTAGGCCTACTGCAATGCTCCATTATTCTTGACGAATAAGACACTTGTCGAACACTAGGATATCTTTTTTGCCAAAACACTTCGCCTATGCAAAGGTTTCTTTAATTTAATATAAGGATGATTTAAATACTGGAGACAGTAAAAGAATAGTATAGATAATTCTGAAGTGTTCAGTCCCTAAGCCTTGACTGATGTCCAGTCACCTTACCCTTGAATGAAGGTGGTCACTTCCTTAGCCTAAAACAGAAGCATGAATTGGAGACTTATATACCTGAACCAGAGGTGTGGTGCAGCAGTTGGAGACAGCATTAAAGGTGGGTATGGCCCACTAGTGAAAGCTGCATTTCAACTCTGACTCAAGTATATAAGTCTTCATCTTAATGTCTCTGCTTTAGTCTGTTTAGCATGACCTACTTCCACTAGTGGGCCCCACTCGCCTGTGATATTGTCACAACTTGCTACATCTTATTTCCAGCTCCAGTATATAAGTCTCTAACCTCACTTGTTTTAGGCTAAGGGACTGATCACCTCAAAATTCTCCACTAGGTACCTGAATGTTGCACATGTGATTTACTTGAAACTATACTATTGCATAACAAAGTTATATAGTACAGTACTCCTAGAAAACTTTCTCACATATGTACAAAGGGGCAGAGTCTGGTACGGCTGAGTAAACTTCGGACAGTAAAGTAAAGGTGTTCAACTGTATCATCCTGGAGAGGGTACAAAGGGTAGTTCAGGTTGTTCACCAGGTGTAGAGAGGACAGATATGCTGCTAGATGAGTATGTCCAGTATGTACACACCATGGCAACATCCAGGAGACAATCTTTAGCACAATTCCACAAGTAGGATTTACGTATTAGAATCACAAGCGAGTCCCAGGTGAGTGGGTCTGAGGGCTGGCACAATGTCTATCAGCTATAGTTGATGACAGGACTGCCCTACCACTGGAGCCAAATCATTGATATCTTAACAGCCCCAACTAGGCTAAGCAAAATTTGCAGCCTCGTCAACTATTCATTTCCTTAGATAAAAGAATGAGAACAAACAAACAAACAATTACTTTTTTCTGCAGTATTAAAAATGTAGTTTACATGCAATAAAATATTGTTAAGAATAAAAGAAAGCCACCAGCATATGTTGCATCTCAGGCAAACTAATCCTAATGCTTACAGATTACTTAACCCTTTGACTGTCGAAGGGCCAAATCCTGAAGTTGCTTCTGGTGTCGCAAAATATTCGAAAAAAAAAATTATTTTTTCTTATGAAATGATAGAGAATCTTTTCCCGATTGTAAAGACACCAAAAAAACGAAATTTGATGGAAAACTGACGGAATTACGCTCTCGCGAAGTTAGCGACTTCGGCGATATTTAAAAATCGGCAATTTCGCCCACTTTGAGCCCTATTTTCGGCTAATTCCGTTATTCCAGTCAACCAAACTCATAACTATTTCTTCAGAACTCTATTTTTTCTATCGATTGAGTACAAGAAACTGCCCATTTACCGATTTCAACTACCCAATAACATGGTCAGAAATTTGCAATTTGGCCAATTTCACGAAAATTAAAAAATACGACAATTTCAAAATAAGGTCCAGAATGAACAATGCAGACATTCCTGGCTCTAAAATAACATTTTCTTTGTTCATCAGTCATGTCTCCAGGTCCCTGTGATATTACTCTTGCTTTTTATTTTGAAATTTTATTCAAACAAAAAATAGAAGATTTACTGTTATGCAGACTACTGCAATACTGTAATAATTGTAAAAATTACATCAACCCATTCATGACTGCGTATTAGAATGGCTATTTGGACATTTATTGGACAATGACATCATTTGTTCACTTTTGAACATCGGCAAAAATCAAACATTTCCTGTACTTTGTGCTCCATTTCCAGGTTCTTTTTATAGTAAAATTAATCAAAATCACCTCCATTTCTATAATATAGTTTCCATTCTATCAAATGAGACCAAGAAAACGAGAATACAACCACAAATACTATACGAAAATAGACCACAAAGTCGGCATTTTAATTAAAAAAAACGGTCGGAGTTTTTTTTTTCTCATTATGCACTGCGTGCTCCTGGATTTTTTTTATGTGGTGCACACTGACCACACAGACCCATTCTCTCACATGTGGGCCTACTAGCTTTCTCCTGCCTGATTTGAAGCCGCTAGAATTTATGAGTATATATACGTCAAACACGGTACCTCGCAAACGTATATATACGGCCGCGACAGTCAAAGGGTTAAGAACTAGACATAGGTTATCGAGCAATTTTTTTTGTTTTAATGTACAAGAAGTGAAGTAACAAAGTGAACAATAGTACAATTTTATGTATTTATGCACTAATACAAAAAAAAAAAGAGGTAACTCAATAAAAATAGTACAGTTTTAGGTATGCATTAATACTTTAGACTGATTCAGTGATCTTAAGTTAATTGGGACTTCTTAAGCAGTTTCAAACTGGCTCTGTGTATTAAGGCTATGGAATGATTATAAGAGATGGTGAAGAAACAGAAAGCTTATTTGGTTCCCATAGAATTATAAGGGTACAAGATGAGTAATTAATTTTCTATATTGAAGGAAGCCACTGTAGAATAATGAGCCAGCCCAGCATCAAAATGAACAATACTGTAATAAGAGTTGAAGTATGTCTCTCACCAGGAAACAATGAGAAACAGGCCATTTAGCAGACAGAAGAGACAGGGAAGATGGAGAGTTTGAATAATATATTGTGGTAAAAGGTATACCCTCCACAAATAAGAGTATGTATTAATTTGTATACAGTATAGTAAAAAGTTTGCTTATTAAGAGTGTGTTTAATCTGCAAGATTGACATAGAGATAGATCAGGAAAGTATGCAACAGCAGAGGTAGATTGGGATGAGTTGATTTGTGACCCATCTGAATAGTGTGAAAAACTTCCTAGTTTAGTCACCTGAAATATTAAAAAAATAATAGCAGTAATTGGGAACAACAAGACCTTGGTAAGAAATGGAACAGTTAGTCAAATGGAAGACAATCAAAGTTGATCAAAGGAAGGGAAGGCATTGGCAATTTCACTCTGGCAATACCTCTATTTTGAGGACATCACTACATCAGTGATCATTCATTCTTAAAGTGTGTGCAAACAGACAAACAACAGTTTATGTAGGGTTTTACAGGACATGGGAGTTTGGCCATCCTCCTTTAGCAGTAATTGTCACCAAGACAGTTCTCCTTCCTGCTCACAGGTGCTTTTTTGCCCCTTTTGACATTTAGCATTACCTCCGAGTCTGGAGTACATTTTAACTGTTTGCTCATAGCTTCAGCCTTTTTGCCTCATTGTGGTTTTTATAATGATAAGGATGCCTACAATGATCTTGGGAAACTTTTTGGGCTCTTTTAACCATAAACAGTTCAATGTTTAGTAAAGATGTTAGGTAAATGAACACAAATGCAACTAATGTGATATTTTATTGTGGCAACGTTTTGCTCTCCAGGAGCTTTGTCAAGTCGGTAATTCTACCATTATTACTATTAGCAAGATATTTGCGTTGTATTTTCTATGTTTATATTTCTTTTTATTGCAAAGAGATCATCAAATCTCATGAGTTTCCTTCATTCATGTTCTCACAGTAAACAAACATTTAATTAAGAAATGTTTAAAAAACTTTTGGCTAACATATGATGGCAGCTACCAGTACTCCTCTGGTGCTTCAACCTGTTGTAACCTTCATGTGTACTGCTTAATATTAAATACACATTAGCTTTAAAATCAAGATTAAAATGAGATAAGGTTAGTTGAGAGCTATTGGCTTAAAAAATGCTATTTTTTTTCCAATGTAGTCAAGGGAAAGCACTAAACCCAGTGCTTATATAGTGTCTGGGGAATGGGTGGCATTCAGTTTTGATTCACAGGGAGAATAAATCCAATTCCTTGGATTGAGAGCCCTTCACTGGCATCAAGGCACCTCCCTTGGAGATAAAATGCTACTAAGAACTCTCATATTTAATCCCTGTAGAACCCTTAGGTGTGAAAGAAAATAAGATGAGAGAAATAACAAATATGATATAGAGTACATACTTTAAATTTTTCCTGAATACTAAATTATGAAGTCTCATGATATTGAATATAAACCCAGGAAAGGTTACTGTACATGCTCGCCAATTAATATTTTCATTATTAACTAGTGTATAACCCAAAGTCTGTGCACATACGCTTGTCCAGTCTTGGGTAACATAATTCAATTAGGAATGTTGCTTGACTAAGAAAGGGGATGCCTTATAATATTCATGGAGGGGTGCTAAACTCACGGAGGTTATACAGCACCTGGGAAATGGGAGGAGATCATGTTTAATCCTTTGACTGTTTCGGTCGTATATATACGTCTTATGCGCCACTGTTTCTGACGTATTTATACGGGTAAATTCTAGCAACTTCAAATCAAGCAGGAGAAAGCTGGTAGGCCTACATGTGAGAGAATGAATCTGTGTCGTCAGTGTGCACCACATAAAAAAAATCCTGCAGCACGCAGTGTGTAATGAGAAAAAAAAAAAACTGACCGTTTTTTGGGATTCAAACGCCAACTTTGAGGTATATTTTCGTATAGTATTTATCGTTGTATTCTCGTTTTCATGGTCTCAGATGTTAAAATGGAAAACATATTACAGAAATAGAGATGATTTTGATTACTTTCACGATGAAAACGACCTTTTAATTGAGCTCAAAGTAGCAGAAATGTTTGATTTTTACCAATGTTCAGGAGTAAGCAAATTACACCACACGTCCAATACACTTCAACTGAGGAGTCTGATATTCTTTCACTAGTGCACTGATATTATTTATACCATTTTTACAATAATGCAGTAGTCTGCATAACAGTAAATTTTGTATTTTTTTGTATGAATAAAAAATCAAAATAGAAAACAATAGTAATATAAGAGGGGCCTAGAGACATGACTAATGAACAGAGGATATGTTATTTTAGTGCCAAGAATGTCTACATTGTTTATTCTGGACCCTATTTTGAAACTGGCATCTTTTTTAATTTGCGTGAAATTGGCCAAATTGCCAATTTCTGACCACTTTATTGGGTAGTTCAAATCGGTAAATGGGCGTTTCTTGTACTCAACTGATAGAAAAAATGGAGTTCTAAAGAAATAGCTATGAGTTTGGTCAACTGGAACAATGGAATTGGCCAAAAACAGGGCTCAAAGTCGGTGAAATTGCTGATGCGTATATGTTGCAGAAACTGCTAACTTCGCGGGAGCGTAATTCCTTGAGTTTCCCACCAAATTTCGTACTTTTGGTGTCATTACCATCAGGAAAAGATTATCATTCCATAAGAAAAAATAATTTTTTTTTTTTTCCAAAAATTTACCGACATAGAATGACAGTTTCAGAAAGGGGCCTGTGACAGTCAGAGGGTTAATGTGAGAAAGAAGAGAATAGATTCAATTGTAAGCCCCTCCCTACCTTGTCAATTTGGCTGAACCATACTGGGCACCTGCCCTTCCCTCTAGCAAAGAAACTTCAGTAGAGCTCATGGTAGCTCACCTGCTGCTGTCTCACTCATGCACCAGACCCTAGAGTAGACAGACAAGGAGGTCCCATCTCTCTGTCATCAGCCTAAAGGGCTGGTGTGGGTTTTGCATGCATACCACACACATTTTGGGAGCCCACAATAAAACCTACTGCATGCAGTAGTGTGTTTAACTTGCAACCCTGCTTGCTAATACCATCAAGAACCCTTCACCTGCATGAGGGCATCTCCCTTGAAGGGAAGATATGTCTTATATACAAAAATGAACGCAGAAACCAATCCTAAAAGCTACATCCCTACAGGAAACCCATTTGAATATTAATATTACTGTTATATTTTTGGGGAAGCACTAAACCCACAAGATATTGGCTTACATGCAGAAGAGTTGGGGCACGCATCTCTTATTTTGCCATTCCCT